CTATGCTCTCTTTTTACTGTGCAAACCTGTGGGTTGCTGCTTTACTGTTGTCTCAGTCAGTTTGTTTTTGTCTTGTGTCGATAGTGACTTTGCTGTTTTTAAAGGATTAGTTTATTCACAGAATTGGCAAAAAAATCACTGGAGTCTATTTGCTATAAAGTGTGTATAGATAATGATTTCAGTTCTCCATCGTAAAGGGCAAGTTCAAGCTGCAAGTATATTTCAATTTAATTTAATTCCTGTAGAGCAGTGCTGTAATTCAGTAAGACTAAATAACTAAAACAAGGAGAAAATTGTACACATTATGATATTAATAAAGTAGGCCATTCTAGAGTCAGTCCATTTAGTCTACAGCAACCAATGAGTGTTTGCCCGTTCTGCTCATTAACTCCACATTATTTGCTCACCCCTTCTTTCTACATACAGTAGGCTGACCATATGGTGACAAACCCATTTTGATGTAGAGCAGGACAGTGAGATGTGTTATTACAAAACCACGGCAAACAGACGGGTCGTTTTAAAATAGACTCCAGGGGATCAGTCAGTAGTATTGTTGAGTTCCCTGAACCATAAAGGTGATCTTTCCTTAACCCTAAACGAGAAGATGTAATTGCCAAACCCTACAAATAATAGAGATTGAAGATAAAACCATCATATGAGACACAGCCTTTAAAACAACTTTGATGTTAAGGTATCTGGACTTGTGGGACACCCAAACACATTTAAGATCTACATTTTCTTACCACGTTTACCATGTTTCAGCCCCCGAAAAACTGAACAGATGGTATCTTGCGTATCTTAATAAATACAACCAATCTTCAGTAAATCACCAGTTTAATAGAGAAACGTAGAGCGATGTGAATCTTTGGTGTTTAACAGCATTGTTCAAAGTTATCGGATTGTTTGAATCCAAAATGCATGTTGACCGGTCCACTAGTGACTTGATGATTCAAAAGTAAACGATATGCTTTAACACTGAATAAATTACACGACTACACGTTAACATGGTCAGAAACTTGTTTGATATAAACTTTTAGACTTCCAGAATACTTATGGCATAACACAGTTAAACTCTTTTGGACATACGGCACCATCAGTAATGCTAAGAATCAAAAGCTATATGGTTCTAAGCACAGAAAGAGTCTGGTTTTTGTCCTACAGGGTTAAAGCCAGGGGACTTTGACAATTTTACGATGATTGAGGTGCTTAACATGAAACAGTATGTACCCAGGGGATCGTAAAGGCTTTTCAAAGACATATGGAGTCATGAATAACTCATAATCAGCCTTTAAGTGTACCGTCGGTGTGAAGCAGAAACCAACTGCGGCCATTAAGATGCATGCATCAGGTTCAGCCACACATTGAGTCTCTGTGGTGCGGCTATACATGCTCAGTCACCAGATGGGCCTGGGGCATGTCTCCATCCGGAAAGTTTCATCCATCCTGATCATGTTATTCACTTATAGAGAGGAAGAGATGCAATATGGATAAAAGAAATAAAGTTAAGGCGAGTAAAGACCTACATACACAACATAATGTTTACAACACAACATTATCACTAGATTCTCCTGGTATTGGTTTCATATTATAACAACATCATTAAAAGTATTTTGTATTGATTAGCTTGGCTACGAATAAAATGGGATCCTTTTAATGTCAATAACTTTCTAAAGAAAATCCTTTTGACAGTTTTCTTTCGACATCGAGTGATGACTGTTGAACCACTGGTTACTTTTGCAGGATTTTAAATCAATCCAAAATGCTAACATAGAAAGTATTTTGATTCTTGATATTTGTTTATTGACTGACATCTCTTTTTCCCAATAAGGGTGGGCCGAGGCCTGAGGATGAGTTGGAAGTGGCTCGCGCCGGACAGGAGCTGAACCAGGAAGTGAATCGTCTGATGGTGGCAATGAGAGACATGCTGGCAAACATCAGGTTTCAAGAGCCGCCGAGAGACGAAAACCCCTACAGAGATGAGGAGGAGTGGGACTGAGAGGAGAGAGACTGAGGTGGAAGAAAATAATGACATTAAGACAAATTAAAATATTTAATGGGGTTAATAAATCATTGAGAAGAAGTGCTAGAGTGGGAGAACTGAATAGTATTTTTTTAATTATCACAATTTCAGAGCACTGGACTGGACCTGGTTTTATGAGGTCGTCCAGTTCTCTGCCTTAGATACAAACAGATGGTTATTGAACATGTCATGTCCTTTAAGCTTGTACACAACATTGAGCAGTTCCAACATCTTCACTCATGGTCAGTGACATATAATGGCCACTTCTCTTTCCTCTGGTTTCTGGCAAACCACATCTTTGGGGGAATCAGTCCAACAAATTAAAAGTCCATGTGAACTTTCAATGGCTTACAAATGTAGATGGGAAAACGGAGAGCTAATTACACGTCTTTTATGTAATTATATATACAATATTAACCACCTTTCTGTGTTGTGAAAAGCACAGATACTGAAAGGCATACCCCTCCTCAGACAACCATGCTTCCTAGCAAATAAATAAGTACAAAAAACTGCAAATTATATCAGTGTTCTACAAATTCTGCTAAAAGTAATTTCTGGTGGGATTTATAAAAAAAACACAATCTTGGTGAGGTCCTGTTGGGACTGAGCACCCTGGTGATTCATTAGGATCTAATTTCCCTTCAACGAGAATGACGTTGAGTTTCCTGCTAATTTAATTATTCACTAAATCAAAACTATCACTTTTTCTTTGATCCTACCACTACATTATTCAAGAAGAAATATATTGCTCAAGTGTTGTTTCTTCACATTGTCAAGCAACAGTCGAAAACTCGAGATCACATTTTTCATGGGATCCTTTTTTTTTTTTAAATGTTGGTGTAAATCTTATCTTCACTGCAGGAAGTCTGCTGTTTTCCTGCTCTGTTATGCTCCCCCGCTCCTGCCCTGTTTGCTTCACCCAATAAAACGGTACAGAGAATTGGCCCACTTCTTTGTAGTCTGCTGTTGTCTGTCAAACTATATTCAGTGCAAGAGTATGGCAGATATTTTATACATTTTGCTTTAGGTTGATTTTATTTGAAGCCATTAGTCAGACACTAATGGCTTCTCTCAGGATGGCTATAAGATATGATATTGAACTTTTCATTCCTGCATTAGTTATGTGACACCAGATGTTTCCCAGTTTTCAATCTTGTGTTGCTGGTTTTTGTCATCATAATTGGGTCCCGAGTAAGGCTACAGAGATGTCTCCGCCTGACAATCTGCAACGCCCTCACATGGTTTATCTTCTGGCAGAAGGAAGGTCCTGTCTCATGACAACAACTTATTTTGTCTTCCTGTCAAACCTCTCAGAAAAACGGATGACACATCAGTTGTAGCTCTTATTATTCTGTAACAACTTACACACAAGCTTTTTGGATCGAAATATATAAATCAAATTCAACCTAAAGGCTTTTTTTGTATCAGAACGCAGATACACACTTTGGATTTAACCACCACACACACACTGTAGTTGTTCATACATTAACTGTTACTCAGCTCACCACATGATAACAAAGTGTGACTGTGCTTGATTGTCAAATGATGTGATTGTTCCTATCACCTGGAGCTATGTTAAGAGTGTGAGAAGTTTCATGTGATCGTTTTCAGTAGAGAAAGGCTTTCATATTCTCAGAGACGGTAGTGTCAGAAACCGTCTGATGCAACGCTAATGCTGTAACCACTGCTGCATAATTTATATGTATCTATATAATAACTTAGAGATCACGAGAGGGTTATTATTATTATTTTTGTTCTAGACCTCGGAGAACTAAAACTATACCTGTAGATATCGACCTTGGTAACTTCTGTTAAATAGCACTGTGCATTTGAAGTCAAAAGTGTAAATGCTGATGATTATTTCAGAATCCATTAATGTGGAGATTATTTTATAGATTAATAAAACAATAATTTAGTAAGATGTATTGTAAGAATAGCATGTAGCAAGTTCCAAGAGCCTGAGACGGTGTCTTCAAGTATTTTTGAGCCAAACAAGACTCAAAACATGTCCAGATTATAACGAAATCATCACATTTGAAAAGCTAAATCGAAAGAGACAATAATACTTTTATATAAACAATTTATAGATTATTCAAATAGTTATTAAAGTAGATTATTTGTCCATCAATTCATCTGTAATCTTGATGTTTAGCTTAAATTGAGAGGAATTTAAAACTTGAGAACCTCTTTTAAGAAGCAGAACAGCAATTGTACACTTTCCCACAATGCTAATTGTATACCCTGTTAATTCTGATTAAAGTATAGCTTACAGTTTCAATTACATACTATACACATATACCCCTGACTGAACTATACACCCCAATACAAAAAATACCAAATTCTTGCTCAGTGCAATGAATCTTAATCCAGACCTTAACATTGCAGCAACTGCAGTGCTACTCAAATGTAAAGTAGACTAATGGATTGTTCAACATATTTGAATAAGAACACTGGTGTCATGTTATTACAGTGCTTTTCAATATAGGCAAGGAAGAAATCATCAACCATCAAACACCAGCTTTTTGTTGATGACTTAAATAACTTATGTTGTGACGTGTCTACAGCAACAACAGTATTTTCTGCAAATAATTGATTTATCAGATTTGTTTTAACCGTAAAAAAATTGCAAAAAAAGGTCAAACTCAAATCTGGAATTTAAAGCATTGATTCTTCATATCTCCCTGTAAGAAGGGAAAAGCAATGGAGGAGGCATACACGTTTGGTAGTCACATTCTTGCATTAAATTAAGGGTAATTTTTAGATGGATAATATGGCATTGTCACTGTCATTATTATAGCATAATAACTTACACGTTTGTAAAGATAAAAGGAAACTACAGCATGCATTTAAAAAAGAGGACAAGATGAACTACTGGGCTGAACAAATCTTTTCACCACCCTGCTCTCCTCTACATGTTTTCTCCAAACTGCGCTTGTGTCAGACATGACTGAAGATCACAGCTCAGCAGACAACTGCTGGAGAGGAGGAGTCGCCGGGGGTCAAGAAGCATCACTGAGAGAAGTCACCAAATCCCAAGGTAACAAGGACACTTTATTCACTCTCACCATGTTAGTCGGAACTGTCGTTGCTTTTTGTGGATTATATTTGTGAAGCCATGTTTTGACGGAGAAGGTCATTTTATGGATTATGCTGGGCCACTTGCATCCATAGGAAAGAAGAAAACTGTCATCAAAGAGACAACATCTCTGGAAATACTTTGACTTCACCCAACTGCCGATTAATATTGATTTAATGGCTGAAATATATAGACAAAAAACTGTTTTTAGTTATTAGGGGGTGCATTGTGGATAACTGAACCACTCACTTGATTTTCTTCTAACCAGTTTGACTAAAACAGCTGAAAAGAAAACAATAACTGTCTTCCCTCGTTTGAGACTTTGCTGCAGTAAAAACCAGAAGCGCAGTGTGTTAACCTGCCAGCCATCAGTCAGTCATGGAAATGAGCAACAGGTCACACAATATCCCCTCCATCCTCCACGTGGACTTCGGCCCGCTAAGTGACTTTTTGGAGTATAACGAAACTAACTCCACCGCAGGAGAGCGAAACTATTTGGGCTGCGTGCAGATCCGCATTCCTCAGGAGCTCTTCCTCGCGCTGGGGCTCATCAGCCTAGTGGAGAACATCCTGGTGGTCCTGGCCATCATCAAGAACCGCAACCTGCACTCACCCATGTACTACTTCATCTGCTGCCTCGCCGTGTCCGACATGCTGGTGAGTGTGAGCAACGTGGTGGAGACCATCTTCATGCTTCTCAACGACCACGGCCTGATGGACGTGCACCCTGGCATGCTGCGCCACCTGGACAACATCATCGACGTGATGATCTGCAGCTCCGTGGTGTCCTCGCTCTCCTTTTTGTGCACCATCGCCGCGGATCGATACATCACCATATTTTACGCGCTGCGTTACCACAGCATCATGACCACGCAGCGCGCCATCGCCATCATCGCGGTGGTGTGGCTGGCCAGCATCACCTCCAGCATCCTCTTCATCGTGTACCACACCGACAACGCTGTCATCGTGTGCCTCGTGACCTTCTTCTGCATCACTCTGGTGTTTAACGCGGTGTTGTACCTGCACATGTTTGTCCTGGCTCACATTCATTCCCGGCGCATTGTGGCTTTCAACAAAAGCAGACGCCAATCTACGAGCATGAAGGGAGCGATTACCCTCACAATCCTGCTCGGGGTCTTCATTGTATGTTGGGGCCCCTTCTTTCTCCATCTAATCCTCATCCTCACCTGCCCAGCCAGCCCCTTCTGCAACTGCTTCTTCCGAAACTTTAATCTTTTCCTCATCCTCATCATCTGCAACTCGCTCATCGACCCTCTCATCTACGCCTACCGGAGTCAGGAGCTGCGTAAAACCTTGCGGGAGCTGGTTCTGTGTTCCTGGTGTTTTGGTGTTTGAGACCGTGTACTTCTAGGAAGAAAAAGAGCACCAATCTAACTATGTCGGCTACCTCTTCTTCCTGAATGTGAATTGTGTCAGAAGATGAAGTATGCGGTGACTGCTGCGTGCTTTAAATCGCTCATGGGGGACTGTAGCTCTGATAAATACTTGTCTCTGGATTTTAGTATGTCTTGCTGTACAGATACCTTTGGTGTCCCTGCACTGTGAAACACCTTGACATTTAATCATAGGCGGCGCGTGAGGCTCAGGTTTGGGAAGGCTAAATAACTTTTTGTACCTGACGCTGCCCGCCTCCGGCGTTTATAGAAAAGAGATCAACTCAGTGTGGGGAGTTTAAATCTCTCAAGTCATATTACAGGATAAAGGAAATACAGTTTAAACTGCCGTATGCAGAGAAGACGCCGACGTGTCGCACTTATCATTCATATTACATCATCAATCAGATCATCGATCATATCATATCATAATATATCATATATTTCCTTATCTGAGTCAGCTTCTCCAGCCGTATCTGGCCGTGCAACACTTACAGTGTCACATACTGTATGCAGAAGTATTATTTTAAGCAACACATTATGTTGACGAAACACTCGAGTCAAATGTAATTAAAGTCAGATCCACTCGTGTCTTAGATGGGGCAGTGATATCATAAAACTATACGCTTTCAAACACTCGGTAGGCCTAGTTATTTTTTAACCATTGTTCTGTATTCACCTTGCAGGTGCAACTCTGTGGTATATCCTGGATTATATGTTTAAGTCATGGATGTTTAAAGCTCATATTTGTCTAATATTAGTTTACTTTTCATTAATTAAGTATGACGCCGCGCTGTCAGTACACTTGTCCCTGTTTGTGATTGGTCAAATGTAGCTAACCCCGCCCCTTTCACGTGAACGCGCTCTCAGCTGGAGAGAGAAACCAGGGTTGCGTTCCAATAGTCCATTTAGCTTAGGAACCTTCCTAACGGAGTGAAATGACCCGGAAGTAAGTCACTGGCAGCCATGATAAGTGCCGTTCCAATTCTCCAAATGAAAGGAAAGGAGGTTTCAAACTTCCTTTATAACCTCCTTTAGCTTAGGAACCACTGGACCTCCCTAACCGAAAGGAGAGGAGAAAATGCTGCCCCACAATGCATTGCAGCCGCAGCATTTGCCGTTCACGGAAACAACCGATTATGACGGAGAAATGATATCATGAAAGTTACGGTGCTTATTAAGCATTTTAAAACGTATGTGGTAAGTTGCCAAAGTGCTTTGTTTTGAACGTTCATCAGTATTATAATCAAAAAGAGAAATATGAACGTTAGTTTTTACTGAAATGATCAAATAAAGTCAACATTTCACAGTCTTTACTGAGCTGCGTGGAGTTTGTTCAACTTTTAAAATATGTTTGAATGGTGATATACACAGTGATAGATGTTAAGGACTAATGTTTATAATAAATACATTTGTATTGATTTTAAGATATTTTCATAGTTCATACAATCATACGTATTGGGATCATTTGTATTAATGTGGACCGGAGGGAGAGGGTGATGAGCATACGTTTCACTTTCCTTTTTTATTTCAATTCCAACTTTGGTCATGAATAATATGTTTCTCTGTTGTCCACGTTCATAAAGCATAAAACAACAGCATCAGAGCATGGTGCAGAGTCTCTAGATGAGTTTACAGTAGTCCCTCGTTCTTATTAAACATCCATGTTGTAGTCCGCTGTATAGAAAACTGTAGTTTCCATAGTTTCCCCACAGCAGACGCACATTCATGACGTCCGCTGGCGCATCATAAACACGTCGGATAGTGAAAGTGCATTCGGATTCTCAAGTACCGCAGTCTCTTCTCCTAAATCCTTTTGAATTCTCCTATCCACTATCCCTTAACCCCGTGACGTTTCACTCAGAGGTCAAGGAATCGGAGATATGGTTAGAATTTAGGAGCTGATTTTTTGGATTATCGGAACGCAACCCAGGGCTGCAGTCGAATAGTTCATTTAGTTTAGGAACCTTCCTAACGGAGTGAAATGACCCGGAAGTCCCTCAGTGGCAGCCATGATAAGTGCCGTTCGAATTCTCTGGAATGATAGGAAAGGAGGTTTCAAACTTCCTTTATAACCTCCTTTAGCTTAGGAACCACTGGACCTCCCTAACCGAAAGGAGAGGAGAAAATGCTGCCCCACAATGCCTTGCAGCCGCAGCATTTGACGTCACACAACAGTCGGCCGTTCACGGAAACAATAGATTATGACGGAGAAATGATATCATGAAAGTTACGGTGCTTATTAAGCATTTTAAAACGTATTTGGTAAGTTGCCAAAGTGCTTTGTTTTGAACGTTCATCAGTATTATAATCAAAAAGAGAAATATGAACGTTAGTTTTTACTGAAATGATCAAATAAAGTCAACATTTCACTGAGCTGTGTGGGGTTTGTTCAACTTTTAAAAGATGTTTGATTGGTGATGTACACAGTGATAGGTGTTAAGGACTAACGTTTATAATAAATACATTTGTATTGATTTTAAGATATTTTCATAGTTCATACAATCATACTGGGATAATTTTTTGTATTAATGTAGACCGGAGGGAGAGGGTGACGAGCATACACACTTTCCTTTTTTATTTCAATTCCAACTTTGGTCATGAAGAATATGTTTCTCTGTTGTCCCCGTTCATAAAGCATAACACAACAGCATCAGAGCACGGTGCAGAGTCTCTAGATGAGTCCCTCGTTCTTATTACACATCCATGTTGTAGTCCGCTGTATAGAAAACTAGTTCTTATTCATAACACTCCGTTCGATGTCTCACTATGGGATGCGCCTCATCGCGGAGCAAACAGAAGCATCAATCTCATTACGCCAATCCTGATTGGCTGGTGATCTTGACGTCAGCGTCAGGGAATTCACCCCCTATAAGTAGCTTGCGCCACGAGGCATGCGTCATTCAAACACCTCTTCTCGCTTCAGAGCACATCTCTATAGTAGCCGGACAAGCTTAACGGTCCACAGACTGAACCCAAATATAACCATTTTGGTCGACGGGCGCTCGCCGGCTACTCCTTCTGCTTCGCAATAAGACGGTAATACTAACGCCAGTTAGTATTAAAATCGACCTCGCCGTTTCTTTCCCCGGAAAGTAAGGTAAGGTTTTGATTTTTCTCAAGCTAGCTACGCACCTGTTGCTAGCTAGCTTCCCCTTACTACCGACACCACGGTAGCGAGGACGCTTTTCTTTTTCTCTCTCACGGAGGAGAAAAGGATTAGAAGTATATTGACACACCAGTCAATATTCTTTGAGAACAAAGGACCCACACCGTCCCTTTTTCTCCGGATTAAGGACGGGTTGGTAACACTTTTTCTCTCAACGACGTACCTGTTACGAGCGGGTCCTCTCCACGCCACGAGGCGAACAAGATGGACGCCTCTCCCCCTCACACCAGAGGAGTCAAGTACTCGGAGGCTCGGTCATGCGGCTGCGGGTTGAAGATAGCAGGCACAGACTCACACCAGGTCTGCTCGTCCTGCCTCGGGCTGGAACAAGCCCAGGAGGCTATCGACAACCCCGGCTCGTGCGGGCATTGTGCCCGTTTCATCCGAAAGAGCCTCCACCGACGGCTAGTACACCAAGCTAGCTTGTTGGAACAGGACTCCCTCATGTCCACTGATTCGCCGTTTGGCAATCAAGACACGGGGGCGTCCGCTGCAGAGACTGAGCCCCTCACTGTGTCGGTCTGGGGCTCACTAACAGCGGCAGCTGCGGAACCGCGATCCCACGCCGTGTCAGGCCGGGACCCGGTGGCGGCAAGAGACGCGGGAACGGAGCCCCACGCCTCACCAGGCGGGAGCTCCCGGCGAGACCTCACCATGGTCTCGCCCGCAGAGGCTCGGCCTGCTCCGCATACCGCCGATGGAACTGCTGGTGGCAGCCCACCTCCTACCGAGGATGGGCCCGTCACCAAGCAGGAACCCCACGCTGCCAGCGAAGGTGGACCGTTTCCAGTCGACCATGACCAGGTCCTACAGAGCCGCAGCGTTGTCCGCCAGGGCTCTGAACGTTTCCTCACTGCTAACCGCATACCAAGCGGAGCTCTGTGAGGATATGTTGAGTAATCCTGGACCGGCCGTTCTGGATGAGTTGGCCGCGGTCACAGACATTTGTCTCCGTGTCCAACGCTGCGCCGTCCAGGCCACGGGCAAAACAATGGGGATCATGGTGGTGCAGGAAAGAGCTATATGGCTCAACCTCACCAACCTCCCAGACTGGGAAAAGGAGGATGTGCTTGACATGCCCATCGTTCCCGAGGGGATTTTCGGCTCCGCTCTTGCCTCCATGCAGAGGAGATGCGGGTCGAAAAAGAAGGAGGACGAGGCCCTCCACCTCTGCCTCCCTCGAAGGGCCCAGCCGCTGCCTTCGCAGCGGCAACCCTTCGTCCAAGCTGCCCCGAACCCTGCTCGGTTCAAAATACCAAAAACGCAGCGGTCGCAGTCCGCCCCGAGTCCCCAGCCCAGGCAGGGGACGAGGGCGAGCTGGCCTAGAAAATCTCCGGTTCCGGCTGCAGCCCAGGCGCAGCCAACCCAGAATTTCGGCCAGCAGTCGAGGAAGAAGAAGAAGCGAGCGGCGTGACAGCCCCTCCTTCTCCCCTCTGTGACAGAGCTGGAAGTCTACGGTTCCCCAGCTCTAAATGTGTTCCCGCCGCCTCGAGAGATGCCTCAACACCATCCTCAAGTCCGCATAAACACATGTCACACACTTTTTCTGTCATAAAACATTTTCCGCTGACGCATCCAGGCTTCAAGCCAAGGGCGCAGCTCGAAAAAATGAAAAGAAAAACAATAAAAACAATAAACAGTCCGTCAACTGTTCCCCTTCTGAGAGCAGCTACGGCCTCTCTCAAAGGGCGGACAATTGACGGGTCTGTGAAGGCACCACCGTCACGTGCATGCGCAGTGCCGGCTGGGGCTGTAAAGGCACCACTGTCACGCGCATGCGCAGTGCCGGCTGGAGCTGTAAAGGCACCACCGTCACGCGCATGCGCAGTGCCGGCTGGGGTTGTGAGGGCACCACCGTCACGCGCATGCGCAGTGCCGGCTGGAGCCGTGAGGGCACCACCGTCACGCGCATGCGCAGTGCCGGCTGGAGCCGTGAGGGCACCACCGCCACGCGCATGCGCTGTGTCGGTGGGGATTGTCGAAATGGGGCACCACAGTGCTCAGACACTGGAGGGCCCCATAACACAACAAATAGAGACTCAGAGGGGAAGAGACGTGACATCTCAGCTGGCTCTAACGGCCCGTCCACACAGCAGCTTTTGGCGATTTGTCCACCGCTTCCAGCGCGTCT